CAACTCGTCAAGTGGCTCAAGTTATAAGAACTCGTGTTTTTAGGTTCTGGGTTTCTAATAAAATAGACTGAAGCGTGCATTTTGAATTCAGTTGAGTAGAAATTAGCAAAACTTCGAAGAGATTAGTTGGTTTGACTAAATTCCTTTATGATAGTGAAGTTGACCTAATGGGTGACTAATTTTACTTTTACTGGTCTATTATGAATAGCATAACTCACAGAGTTGTATTACTGACTGTGTGACTCTTCCCAACTCTTACAAAAGGTTTAAGCATTTAACATTATTCTATAATTGTCAGTTGCTTGCAAAAGTTACCAAGTCTGTCTATTGTCGACGATTGTCTCACATTTAGTTTGAAATTTTCAGTCTGTTTCTCAAACTTGGAGCGAAGTCTGACAGACACGGCATGGCTTAGAAGGATCCCGTGTTATAAGGAGAATGAGCTAAAAGTCAGGATATCTCCAACTCTACTGTAAATATTGAATATTACACGTGTAGCAGAACCTCTGCAGCTTGTCCTTCACCTGCTCCATCTGTGGATCCCTCGTCTCTCCTCAACCTACGCTCTCATTCACTTGAATTGGTGCAAAAAAAGCACATTAATAGCTGCTCCTGGGTTTCAAACACAAGGGCTGGATACACTCGAGCCCGACCGACGCACAGCAACTCTCCTGGATTGAGAAATCCAACCGTCACGGCTGCTCTGCATTCAATCATAAGTTATTCGGTTAATGACAAACGATGATAAAATCCACGTCTTTCTGCAGAACGGATGACTCAGAAACAGCTGCTGGTGTTTTGCAGACACCAGTGAGTGATGCCATATTCCGTAAACCTGCTGGAGGTTTTGTTGTAACTTGTACATCTACTTGTTTACTGTAACGATAAACAGTTTGGATGATGAGCGACCAGCCAACAGAGAGTCTGAGGAAAAGTGGCTACGCAAACAGAAACCCATGCTCACAAATATGCGGTATTTGCATTTGCACAACATGCTGAGGAACACTGACCGTGTGTGTGTGTGTGTGTGTGTGTGTGTGTGTGTGTGTGCAGAGACACTTAAACCGTGGGTGAACCTGCGAACACAAACACTTCCTATTGGGTGACGAATGGAGCTCAAAGCCCTGTTTACATTTAGAGCCGAGCACAGGTTTATCACGGGGAGTGCCTCGCTGTCAACCTCACACAGATGTGCCTCTGAAGCCCTCTGTGTTGGTGCGTCCTTGCATAATGAACATGACATTGTGAAGTGAGCACACCCCGGGCCGTCCCACCCACCCACCCACCCAGCCAGCACAAAGGCCAGACGAGGTGTGTCAACACAGTGCAGCACGTCAGAAACCGCGGCGGCACTTTGCTACGCTGACCTGTTATTGTGGTCAGATTAGTGACACCGCGGCGGAGAGGTAACCGTGATATCCCGGTAAACAGGAACAAGAAGCTGCTGCGTTACAGTAAATCTAACAGAGTCAACTGAAGCTTGAACAACCGGTGTTAGCGCTTAGATTACTGCAGTCACCAGCAGCCGTTTGTTCACATGCGTGAGTGTTAAACCAGTAAGTCAGGACAGGCTGGCACACGTCACCCTCTGAGCATTTCTTGTCTCTGGTGAACAAAGAAAAGTTAGAGTAGGACAAGAGGGATTAAAGTAAAGCACAGAAACAAGAGAGACACAGGTACTGTCAACAGACGGGGATAACAAGTGTTTTAAAAAAAGACTTTTTGTCTGCTATCTGAAATTTGAGAAATCTGGTTTGTTTTTAGTTTTTTTCAGTCACACTGTGTGGCCCAGTTCATTTTCTGGCTTTGAATCCATGTGACACTGGGAAAAAAAATACGACTAAACTAGATTGTTAGATTAACACCAGAACAATCATCAACGGATTCTGTCTGTTTATGGTGACATATTCTTACAAACTGACACTTTGAGGTTCCTGCTTAGAGCTCAAACATCACTTTCTCTTTTTAAATGTTTCATTAGCTTAAAGACAAAAAGAATAATCTGTCTCTGGAGTTGGCTGCTGTGACTTCAGCTCATGTCTTTTGTATTTTGTGGCTATTTATTAATTAAATGTTTTGGGTTTTTTAATATATATATTTTTTGGCAGTAGAGAGAGACAGGAAAGGGGAGAGAACTCACGACCACTGCTTCGGGGAACTATAGCCCCTGTTCATGGGTTGCCCGCTCAACTAGGTGAGCGCCCCTTATTAAATAACTGTTTGACTAATTTCAAAGAAGGAGAATGTGTGTAAATAAAGGCTGGAGACGTCGGTGAACCTAAGAAACAAGCTCCTGGGCAGAAAAGTTCAAAATGTGCAGAGCCACAAATGACCACTTGAGGGTTTCTCTAAAAGTGAGCCAATCCGAGTTGACCCCAGTGTTAAAATGTCCAACTTTACAACAGAAACAAACACATTTACAGCCTTCGTACAAAAGCAGCTTCGATCTCTATAGCTACTGTCCTCACTCCTGTCAGCTATACAAGGGGTGGGTTTGTATATAACTCAGCCATTTAAACTGTATTCAGGTTTAAAGTTGTGCATAGTTAAAGCCGTAGCCGCTCTGACTGGCAGCTGCCACAGGACAGTTTGTGGACCAGACACATTTGCATTTCTATTCATGCGCCACCTCTTTGTTACTTTTTGGGTTAGCCAAGAGTCAGGAGGAGTCAACATGCCGACGGCTGAGCCACTTCCAAACCGGTCTTCAGCAAATGTGACGTCACAGAAGGTTTAATGAGGCCACCTGAACCTAACACTGTGTGTCATGAGGATTTGATCATTTGAATACTTGTCCTGTAGAAGGTTCCTTTGTCAAAGTCTAGATATGAAACCTTGATTGCCTCGATGCTTATGTCTAATTTCAATTGCCTCAGTCTGACACACAGATTAATACTGATGGATTTTTCATCATTGTGTGTACTGGAGACAAACTTGTGGGGCAACATGGCACCCAAAGCTGGGAGGAGCCACAACAGGCGCCGACAACCAAAGTTCCTCTAAAGGCTCCATGCTTTTCCATGACCTCAGTCTTTTTCTTTTTTTGTATGTAAATGAACATTTTGATTCAGAAGTTGGCACAAAAAACGGCATTCTGTTTGTGAACTTCCCGGGAAGCATGCTTTTGGTGAGACAGGATGTTTTTATTCTGGCTGTTATGGCTGACTGTGCTGTGCCTCAAGAGCACAAGAGCTTCTATCACACATATTTGAAAAAACCCAAATTTGATAATGATCACATCGTTTCCAGAAAGCGATTTCATTCTGGGGATGTGGAAAGCAAAAAACAATGCTCCCAAACGCATCCTGACACAAATTGTGATTTATAGTATTTTAAGAAAAACTCCTGCCAAACACACTTTACAAATACACAAAGGGGGAGCGCGTTTATCTCCGAGAGCAGTGATGGATTTTCACCACCGCCGCTCCTGCTGTGATCGTGTTCAGAGCAGTGGGAGCAGGAGGAGATTATTCTGTTTGTTGTATCATATCTCCTTAAAAATAGGCTCTTTGCGGCAAGTCTGCAAATGAGTACGAGCTGTCTTTGATCAGTGCAAGGCGTGTCAAAACAGCAGCGGGCTGATGGGTAAATGTGTGCAAATGTGCTCTGTGCTGTTTTAATGTCACTGTGCGTCTACCTAATGGGAGCAGTGATGGGTGCGAGAGAAACGTCGATTTGGTTTGCACACTTGATTGCAATTTTACACCGTACATGTCCTCTGAAAATAAAATGTATGTGCTGGCTTGTTTCTGCATGCTTTGCCATTTTGCCAACCCAATAAAGCCAAAGGCAATGGAAGCGATTACAGCACGGCAGACATGAGAACTGAGATGCTGCTGAGCTGTAATCAGTTCCAACATGCTTTTTCTTCATCCACATGCTGTTATTTGATTATCTCTCCCTCTATATCCACAGTGTATTTATCCGTCCTCCTGCTCTGTGTGTGTCAGTCCTTCACTGTGTTGTGACTGATCTGCAGGCACATGCTCATTGTAAACACCAGCAGCTTGCTATTACACTGAATCCCAACATGGTGCTCTGGCAGCGGATGGACATGTTCAATCAATATAATCCACTTAACTGGGATGGACGCAGATTACTTCAAGGTTAAACAACCTGGCGTCTTCTGAATGAATCGCCACTGATACGCCAATTCATGATATTAAAACGCGTTCCATTAGTGGCGCCATTACAGCAACCGGATGCAGCTCTACTACTGTTTGTGCGTCTGACAAGTTGTTATGATAAAAATTACATATCCTGGACCCCCCCTTGAACGGGAAGCAGGTGGACTTATCTGGGTCCAGCGGGCCCTTCACGATCCCTGTGAACGTAAGCACGGATGCGCATTAATGTGCAGGAAAGGAGGCTGGCTATACCCAGAACACACAATGCGACCAGGGTTTGAAGCCGGCAATTACTGTACAGCCATTATCTTGTCAGAAGTGGCCCCCACTATGGCTGTTTTATGGCGTTTACAGGAATTCTTGAGCGACCCACCCGGTGCCACTGTGCCAAGTTCTCCACTTCCCAATGACGCACGACAGCGATCTGAGATGGAGGTTAAAGGGTCCCTGCGGAGCTTTCACTAATGGACAGACAAGCGGGGGTTTCTTTGAAACTCGAGTATTGGAAACTACTCTGTCTTAATGCTCATCCTGTTACATCCTAAGATCCCTCCTGGGATATCACACTGTGTAAACTTTTGGAAAAATCCATGCGCAAAGCAAGACGCACAGAGTCCGTGGGTGTAAAATCTCTACATTGTCCAACGACGTGTTTGTTTCTAGGCTGAAGAATCACTGGATGAACGTGCCACAATCAAAACAAGGCTTCCGTTTTGAAAAATATCAAAATTTAAAACATAAAACAAAACTTGGATAAACCCCAAAAAGTGCTGATGAACGTGATCCTTCACATTAAATCAGAAATGTTCTCTCAGATCACCCGCTCTCTTTCTCTCTCTCACACACACACGGGCGCGCGCATCGGGGTCTCACCTGAAGCTGCGAGTCCAGCCAGGACGGTGAGGAAATGGAGCCCTTTTACGCACATTGGATGGACGGCAGGCTGTCCGATGAGCGAGAGACCGGGAGCCACTGAGACTCCTCCGCCGACTCAGAGAGACGGGAAACCCGGCCGACAAGTCTGTGGATCCCCTTCGGAGAGGGATGAAAACATGAAGTCACGGTGAGCCCTCTCCTGCGCCTTGTCTCTCCAAAGACGTGTCCCAACTCGCCGCTGCCCTCATACACTTCATTTCAGCACCCTCCCACCACATTTTCGGGCGGAGTAACAAAGTCATCCACTTTCCTCGCCTCCCTCTTATCGCTCTCTCACATGTTAAACCCAAAGCCGGCGAATTCTTGATGGTCGCCCAACCTGTTCTTCTGCTCCATGCGCGGTGCCATTCCTTAGCTGTTGCGCAAACGCATGACCCGAAATGGTAATCTGCCGGCCATTACACAGTGTATGGAGAAGTCGTGCGTAATTCAGTTATAATCTCATTTTAGTATATGATGTGATGTTTCGTTATGTAATAAAACAGCATGAAGTAGCCGTCGGTGGATGGTCACGGGCTGCTGTGCGCTATGACGCGTCAAGTCACACAATTAAAGCTTTAAATGACTCAGTTGATGTGATTTAATTCGTGTCTTTATTATTGGTTTTGATATATTAAATTCTCTCAGTGAGAATTTAATAGACTCAAACCTCCTGGTTCATTTGTTCATTTAATTGGTTTGATTTAAATCCTTAAATTAATTCATATCACATAAAAGTCAGATAATTTAGGCAAATAATTGTTTTTGTCACATTTGATTGGATTGTAAAGGAAGAAATGCACTTTGCTTTTCAAAAGACAAAAATACAAAAAGTGAATTTATGGTCATCAACCTGCCAGAAGCCTCTAACATGCAGCTGATAGGCTGGACTAGTCTGTCTTTACAAACAAACAGGGAGATGTTCATGTGCTGGCTCCTCTGGCCTTTGATGGAGAGCAGCAGCAGATTCTTCTCTTTGTGAAACTGGCTTTTTGCTGAGTTGAACCACTTGGGGGCAGAGCAGCACTTTGATGTGCCTCAGCAGGCTGAGGAAGATCAAAAAGGCTGCTGCTCAAACCTCCACATTTTTATGGCTGATATACCAACATGTTTTATTAAATCCTACTGAATGTGCATGACAAGTGCTTTTGGAATTCCAAAACTTCAAAAATCTGCATAAAAATCCCGTAGTCAACCTAAAAGTGTTTAAATCTTTGATGGCCTTTGTTTCAGCCTCTATGATGTTTTTAAATATGAACTGCAGCAGGACGGCTTGCAGACATTTACCATATGAGCTGTCACTTGAGATGATAAACTAGGAGTGAATCAGTAAAACAGCACATGCTACCAACTCTGTACTTAAAGCTTTTTTTATAGGTTAATATAAAATTCACTCCTATTATATGGATTTAAAAAAAGGAATCAACCAAAGTATAATCATGGACTGTTTGACTTACTGAAAAAGAGCAACAGGCATTTGAACCAAACTCCACCATTAGCAATTAGAATTGCTTAGAATTGCCCTTTATTGTCACCTATAATTACAGAAGACGTGTCTGGAAGTTAGAAGCTCTTGTCCTTGTATCAGTGACTCTATTGTTTGTCAGCAGACAGATGACGAGCCATGAGGGGGTTTGGAGGAAACAGACTGAGGTTGTTGCAGTCTATATGTAGATAGTTTAACCCCTTGTGTAGATGAAAGACACACAGAAATACCTGAGACAGAATGTTTTTCACATCTATGCAACCTGAAAGTTGTCTTCACCAACAGTTTATGAGTGATCCATGAATGAAATGAAACCACTGACAAAAAAATGTCATCATTTATGAAGGGCAAAGGCGGTATTTTGACAGTAAATGCTTTGCTGTTAATTATTCCAAGTTATTTCAGCTTAGAAACACAAATTTTCCTGCTGCTTTAACGGCCCTTTGCTTGATTAACTAGTCCAGAGTCATCTAATGAGTTGTGAGTGTAAAACTGGTCGAGTTAAATTAAGTGAACTTGAAAAAAACAAGTTCAATAAACTGAAGATTGAATCAACTCGTCATGTAATCAATGCTTATAGACTTGCTTTCCTCTTTTAAGTTGAAAGAGTTTCTTCTTCATTTATTGTTGAGAACCTGAAGCTGTTGAAGCCGTCGTTTTCCACTCGAGCCGGTACAAAGACAACATGTAGGGCTGTTTGCAGCTACAGCGAGAAAACTGATCAGTCTGCAGGCGTAGAGACTGAAACTGATTCAGGCATTCGTCATGGTTGGAACTGTTTGATTGTTATGTCTGAAGAGTTTCAACTAGATTATCAAACAGTGCATCCTGGAAATCCTGCTTATAATCTTGTTTTATTTGCTATAAATGAGTCCAGTGAGCTAGCAGCTGATCATTTATTCTACTCATCATTTTAAGGGCCTTAACTCGTGTTTTTAAGCTCTGAAGTGCTCTGAAAGTAAAAATGGGACATTTTAAATTCAGTTAAGTGGGAATGATCATATATTTACACCAAGTAAAGTTGAAAAAATGAGTAGATTTCTCCGTCTTCATGATGTGTTTTTAGATTCTTAGCACTGTGTGTATAAATCATGTCACAGCACAAAGTAATAGTAGACGTTCTGCGCTCGTGCAGCGTCTTTTAACCCCAGCCTGGTTCTACAAAGTGCTTTCAGTGTGTTTCTCTCTCGTACTCACACCCTGATGGTGGCAGAGCTGCCACCAGAAACAACTTCGCTGTCTTGCCCAAGGAGGCTTCGGCACGCGGACGGGCTCGGTGTCGAACCTGAGGCAGCCAAAGCTGAAGATGTGTGGCATGAGAGCGTGTCGTATGTTCTGTGGAGCTCAGTTCCTGAGCCATACATCACATAACACAAGGCGATAGATATGAAGTGACACAAACCAGATTTACTTGAATTGTTTTCACATCAGAGCACAGTCGTTCCTACTGAAGGCACAGAAAAAAAACAATCGAACCATTTTGCTGCCATCAAGTTTATAAAATCTATGTTCCAAGTATTAGTGGTTTTATGGGGACTTTACTTACAAACCAATGAGCACAAAAGTGAGTTAAATACTCAAATCTGGAGTATTCAGTAACGTTTTAAGCTGTGCTGTGCTTGTTGTCGTCAGTTTTTGATTTGTAATCAACTGAGAAGCACAGAGGAGTTTATTCACATTACTCCTTCAGCTTGACTTCATTTTGAGGTTTAACTGTGAATTCATCTTGAAAAAAATGCTTCCTGTGTGGTGTCTGTTTGTGTGTGTGTGTATATGTGTGTGTGTATATGTGTGTATATGTGTGTGTGTGTGTGTGTGTCTGTGTGAGTGTGTGTGAGCGTGTGTGTGTGTGTGTGTGTGTGTGAGTGTGTGTGTGTGTGTGTGTGAGTGTGTGTGAGCGTGTGCATTATAGAGTCAGAGAGAGAAGCCACCAGGTCTTCGTCTCTGAGTCTTATTGTCTGACCGAACAGCCAACTTGATGTAATTTAAATCGTCTCCAGGAAACTTTCAAACATTTGATCGACAACAGAAAGATCTGGAGACGCAGCAAACGCGACTTAAAACCAGAAGCAAGCGTGTTCAGTCGGAAAATGCACAGCATGGCTGTTCAGGCTGTGCTCGCCGTCGTCCTCCTTCTGTTCACCGCCACCGTCATGAGCGCTGAAGGTAAACATGGAACCGTCCTGCATTCTTTTAAATTAGTCTTTGAAAAGTTGAATATAGTGTTTTGGGGCTAGAAAAACACATGTTGTTTGAAAAAATATGACACCGAGGAGTATTTTTAAAGACATTTCTCCAACTTCCTGTGTTTCTCTTAACTGCCGTGCACACTTTTTCTGTACTTTAATGTTTTTTAGTATTATTATGGTTTATTGTCTGTTGATAAGATTAGTTTCATCTTTATGGTAATGCAAAAAAATGCACGATGAGTTAAATCGTAGGGACCCACCACAGCTCTCAGATCGCCTCAAGCAAGTGCACTGAAGTGACCTATTATCTGTCCATGTGTCTTAAGGAGGAATATCATTCTGGAGGACAAAAGTCACAATGACCTGTCCAGAGGAAGGGACGTGGCACCAAAATAAAGGACAGCAAAACTCAGAAGACAAAGGGGCCAATGCTAGTAACAAAAAACAGCATGAAATGGAGTATGACAGTATCATCAACTACCGCTGTGACTACGACGAGCCCGACGGGGGAAGTACTGGTAAAAAATATTATTTCTACGCAGAAGGAAAGGGTGAGTGGAAAAGTCTTTTTATTTTTCACAGTGTGCCCTCAGTGCTAGCTGTGCTTGCTGAGCTAACGTCTCTTCGACTGCTGGTCTTTGTTCTGTAGTGTGCAAGGACTGCTTTGAGCTGGACTCACAACTAGTCCTGCTGGTCATCATTGCGGACGTGCTCGGGACAATATGTTTGATTGCAATAATGTACAACTGCAGCAAGAAGAAAGGCTCAGCCGGACCTGCTCCCTCTTCCAGAGGTACGAATGCACCAAAGCGCCGCGGTATTGCACATCTGTCTGGGTTTGGTGATGTCACTTGGGTTGAAGCATTCGTACAGATTGTGAAAACTCGTTTTTCAGTGTTTGCTCACACTCATTCTGTCTCTGTCTTCTAGCACCTGCTCGTCAAAGAGGCCGAGATCCACCTGGCACATCCTCTGACTACGAGGTACGTACTGCTGGATATTAAAAACTCTACTGGTGCAATATTACAGCACGGGTACTGGGACGCTGTCAGCTCCATGCAGCTCCTCTTCGCTCGGTGTGGACTCATTTTTCACAGCACCTCTATGAAACAGCACAACAACGGGCAGAATAGAGACGTCAGACGTGTTGTCAGTGCAGCACAACACAGTTACAGCAGAGTTAATCACATAGTAAAGAAAAAACAAAACTTTTATATCGTAGAATTATTATTATTTTTACAAAAAACATGAAAACAAAAGTGAGATCAAAATGTACGGCATTTTCCCAGTTCCTGACGGATGTGACACGAGCAGTGACTCTCCTGAAAATTTGTCATGTGACTGTTGGTAGCAGCTGAGCCGCTAATCGCTAACAGGAGTTTAGATTTATTTAATTTAGTTTTTTGGTTCTTTTTAGTTTAGTTTTTTTTTTTAATGGAATTTCCTTAATTGAAGTAGTTTATTTTAGTTTTTTGGTTCTTTTTATTTTATTTTATTTTATTTTTTAATGGAATTTCCTTAATTAAAATAGTTTATTTTAGTTTTTTATTTTTTATTTTTTAATGGAATTTCCTTAATTAAAGTAGTTTATTTTAGTTTTTTATTTTTTATTTTTTTTAATCGAATTTCCTTAATTAAAGTAGTTTATTTATTTATTTTTTAAATGAGACAGGTAGAATAAAGAAATTTGGAGAAATTATCCCAATTTGAAGCTCAGATTGAGTTAGTTTTCCTAACGGGACCGTACATCACACATGATTGGGACTGTCTGAAATGCTTTGATTCTTTCTATTTTCACAGTTTCTGACTGGATAAATGTCATTTTGGTGATTAAAAACAACAACAACAACAAAACAAACAGATAACATGCCTGTTAAACTCACAGAGGGTTTTGGGGAGAGTTAGAGTGAATTAGTGATTATTCACCCACCTGCATAAATCGTGTATTAGTATCAGCCAAAGTTCAAACATGATCCATAACAATGAAGACGCAGATAAAAAAAAAGATCGCAAACGTTTAAGGGACCGAGCTCGACCCGGCTCTTTGTTGCCCTGTACAAAACCATTTCAGTGAATCCCCAATTTGTTCTGCGAAAACCAAAGCCATCGGGAGAAATGGAATTACTAAACTTTGAAAATGATTAGTGAGCGATCAATAATATTCATTACACCCGTAGAACTCTGTTCACATAGAACAGCCCAACGCTTTAAGGTCCGAGTGCAGTTGAGGAAAACAACTGGACTCGTATCAAAGCCTGTTTTAGATCAGAGTCGTTCTGTTCAATCGCTGCAGGACTCGGCTTTCAAACTCAACAACAGAAGGTATTAGATCTTTTGGAGCTCTGTATGTCTGGTACACGATGCCCATTCAGTTAAAACAGAAATATAACGCTTCTATCAACCAGTGCTTTTAGGTCTTTCCTTCGTCTAGAAAAGATCCATAAATTGGCCCAATGAGAAGAGGATGGATGAGGATGCGTCAGATGTCGTTCGTTTGTTATCTGCACACGACGTGAACGTTTAAAGTTCTCCATCCTTCACTTTATTAAAGCCAGACTAGTCAAGATTTAAGCACCAAAATATGAAGTGAACGCTGCTGTCTTTGCATCTCTGATTGGTGGACAACTCATTCTCTGTGAGTGGAAGGACAACTCACCTCCCACCCACCATATTCCCTGGAGGAGAGCTCTGATGCAGCGTTTTACTCGCTCGTTTCCTTTTTGTTGATTTGTCAGTGAGATGTGGCATCATTATGGAGCATCACAAGGCTAAACTGTTATCTAACCAACTTAAAACCTCTTGTTTGTGTTTTGGCAGCCGCTGAACCGAAGCACCGTCGCCCAGGGAACGTACTCCGTCGTGAACAGGACGGGATAGAAACAGCGACTCATCCGGCCGCTCCAGGTTTTAAAGGCTGCACGGATGAAGGAAACGTGCACAAGAGAGCATCGAGCGTGCTCCCGGTAGCTGCAGCCACTGGCTTCGTTTTGACATTTTGGATTTGACGAGTCACTTAAATGAAATTTATCCTTCACCCCTGGAACCATAGTTTGAGTTTCACTTGTACAGATATTTTTCTACCACAGCAGAGGATGATCTGCATTTAATTTGTGCTCCCGACGGCATTTAAAAATTACAGTTCCTCCTTTCTTCTGACGGACTAGTCCCTATGGAGAAGTGCTGAGTGTGCTCACAGGGTTATTTACCGTAATAGGGACTTTGTGTAGCTGTCAGTCAGTCCACATATTTGCTTTTTGTTTTCTACTAAATGTGTCGTGACTCCATGTGTTGTAAATTAGAGTGCATGCAAACTATTTAGTGAACAGCTAAACAAAACAAAAAAAACCTAAAAGCTAAAATGTTCAACTCCAGAGTTACTATGTATATTTTGTATTCATGAAATATTAGTAAGTAGTCATTTCATAAAGACATCACATCTGTCTCTATAGAAGGGTGGCGGAACAACAAACGGGTGCTTGAGTTTATGTACAGCGGCTGCGAGGGCTTCGTCAGAGGTTGGGAACTAATGCTGTTTGAAATGTTCAAGGCACTGAGACACAAATCTCTGACATCTGGCCAAATGGAAAACTACCTTTGAGGTGTTTTATTGTCATATGCACTCCAGGTTATCAGGTGTTGTCTGTTGTCACAAAAGCAATAGTTCAGTTACAGAACAGGTTTAGCGTCGTGGTCAGAGCGAGCGGCTCTACTGCGACGCGTAAACATGTCGCTGTGTTTATTCGTCTCCCACCAAAAATTTCAAAAATAGATTTTCAGAAAACTAATTTTTTTTGTTGTTTGCTTGAGATGATATCAATCAAACTGAAGCTGAGTGGTAGAAATGATAAAAACAGAGGTAACTTAAGTTTGATTGATGTTGTCTCAGGTGGACGATGGAAAAGTGGGTTTATTAAGGTTTGTGAAGATGGAGTTGTCTGATTAAATGTGCCTGACAGGTTCCTGATAATGTATATATATATATAGACACACAGACTGGTGACAACTTAAAGGAAAAACCAACAGAAAGCGTCTTAGTTTGGCCTCGGTGCTCCTTGGCATTGATTCCTTAAGTCCCTGGAGCCTGCTGAGGGATGAACACCATCAGGACACTCCCTCCTGTGGAGCCGTGGTGACGTGATAGAGAGCGCTGTCGAACACGTGCATCCAGAACCTCCCACAGGTGTTCACCTGGGCTGGGATCTGCTGACTGAGGCGGTCACAGCGTCTGATTCATGTCATTTTATTCAAACTATTCGGTGACTCCTCGTGCCTCATGAGCCGCTGTCATCCTGGAAGGTTTCATCACAGGATGAAGGTGATCCCTGAGAACAACTTGGTTAGCAGTGGAACATGTGGACCTGGACTACCGTCACTGTGGGGGTCAAGGGTTCAGGTTTTTCCTTTAATTCGTCACCTGTTTGTATGAATTATTATATAAAGATAAAAAACAGATGACTTGTTTGCTTGAGATGACATCAATCAAACTGAAGCTGAGTGGGTTTGACTCAGAAAAGACAAAAACAGAGATAACTTCAGTTTGATGGATGTTGTCTCAGGTGGACGATGGAAAAGTGAGTTTTCTGAAGGTTTGTGAAGATGGAGGTATCTGTTTTTTGTAAATGAACTCGTACTTTAAATACAAAAAACTGGCAAAGAGTTCCATCTAATTTAAATCAGTCTTATTTGTGTAATCGCTTAAGAGAAATCTACGTTTTCTGTATATAAATGTTCGCCTTTGTGCTGTCACTTCCATTTATTACACTGTAAAAAGAGCACCTGCCATATCACCGTCAGCTCAGCTTGCTTGCTCTTTCACTTATTGTGTTATTCTTGTCGCTGTTGCAACGGGCACAACGTGTGTCACTGATAAATAAAACCGCAGCTAACTCGGCTCGCCTTTTTCTTATTTGTTCATGCGAGGAAACAACACCGAGCGGGGTCTACAGATATAACCCAGTGTGATTCATGAAGCCGCCTCAAAGCCGCAGCTCATATCCGTAGCACACCCCCAAGCACTCACCACCACCACCAGCGTGTCTTCATCGCTCTCCTTCTTGTTCGAGCGACTTGCCTTAGTGTCTTTGGAAACATCTGTGAGACATTTCTCTGTGCACACACATGGTTTTTACTGACAGACGCTCAGTGGAAACGTCGGCTCATGTCATGTTTTGGCCCTTCTGCGTTTGTTCCCAGCAGCTGCACTGACGGAATCGAAAGCGAGAAACATGACATAATATTTCTTCTTCTTCTTCTTCTTCAAGCAAACTGCTAATGATTGATAAGTCCGTCACGCTGCATGGAGCTCAGAGGTGTAGCGTTCGGTGGAAACACTCCCACACTTGGTTTATCTTCATCCACATCTGCAGCATGTTTTAGAAAAAGAGAAACAAAGACGTGTGGGGGGGGGAGGGTTGGTGTAAGCCATGTGTTCGTCTACCTGACTGCATTAAGGCAAACCGCTCCCACACACAGACCTACATCTGCTCATCTGTTTGTGTGAGCGAACATCCGTGCTCGACAACGTGCACATGACCCAGCGCGAGTGTGTGAAAAGTGTGTTCACATGTCAGAAGTTTGGTTGTGTGTGTGTGTGGAGAGGGGGAGGGGGGAGGCTGATCCGGGTTGTGTTTCTGAGCCGTCTAAAGCTCCAGCGTTTGATCTCTGGGCTCCGGTAGGAAACTGCACTCGGTTGCTTTGTCACAGCAGCAGCAGAAGAAGACAAGCAGCGATCAAAGAATTTAAGCTATTAGATTATCTGACACGGAGAGGCTTCCTCTGATGCAGCTCGAGTTTCTCTCCTCCTCGTCTCTACTTCCTGCTCCTCTTCTTTGAGGCTATTTTAACCCTCCTGTCTTTTTTTTCACCTTCTCTCGGCTCTTCTCTTCGCTCTCGTTGTGTAATTCTCTCTGTCCCTGCTTTCCCCGTCTTTCTGAATCCTCTTTGCGTCTTTTATGCAACGCACTGATTTAGAACCTCCGGTAGACTTTGTGAGACGGTGCTGAAATACAGAAGAACTGTACTTACATTAAACAACACGCTCAGTTATCTGTAGTGGTGCAGATGCATTCTCAGAAAAATCTTATCTTGAGGTTTGCTGTTTATGACATTAATACAAACATCAAGGAAAAGATTCCACTTGTTTTTCTACCACTTCATTTACTTCACAGATATTCACAGAATGCACGGTTTATAAGTCTTAATGTGCTGCTGCAGGTTACTGTTTGGTTTGTGGCTTCACCTCCACCTGCTGCAGCGTTTAAAAAATACCTTCTGCACATGAACGCATCAGGAAATAAAATCCAATGAGAGCATGAACATAAATGCACATGGGATGGAATATTATTACTATATGAACGCATCAGTGGCAGTGTGCTGACATGAGGACAATGTTTTAGTTTTTAAAAAAAAATATTAACTCTTCTATGTTTTAGTTCAGAGGTTGGAATTGACTTTAAAAAAAAAAAAACGAGAAGTCATGGGACAATTGTTGGGGTAAAAAAAAAAAGGCATTCACTTATATTTACTTATTTGTTTGTCTCTCATCTATGTTTTTTAATGAAACCCTGTATTATTATTATTAGTAGTAGTAGTAGTAGTAGTAGTAGTAGGAGTAGCAGTAGTAGTAGTAGTAGTAGTAGTAGTAGCATACAGGGCTATTCCATCTCAAATCATCAAATATTTACAACCATTTCTGCTCAACTATCTCTGATTTTACCTGAAATGTTTGTACCAGAGAATATTTTGGCCTTTTGTTTTTAACGCAGCCTCAAATATGAACGTATGAAAAACATGCTGTGAAAGTTGTTGACAGGCAATTTTT